TTATAAATAATGCAATTTCGATGGACAAATTTTAGCTAAGAAAAGAGCAAACTTTCAATTTATATATATATATAAATATATATATCTTCCTTGCCACCTTTGCTTGGGACCAATCCTAAAAAAATGAAAGCAAACGCCGTGTAGACAACTGACCGGCTGATCGCTACTTGTGAAATATATTTATTTAAAAGGTTAATTTTCGTGCGTAGACCGATTTTAGCATTGCAAAATGAAACTTAATATAAATATCTAACCTTGGTTTCATTCTGCATTCGCCTATACTCCAATTATTCATGATGATATCCTACATGCATGGCACTGATCCGACAGCCGATCTCATGACGACCGTTCTAATCCGCCCAGACCGACATAACCTCATTGCAGCTTTTCTGCATTTTGCCCCGTCCAGTGACCTCACGCCCTACCTTGGCGCCCTCATCTTCCCTCCATATTCCAATTACAATCCAGTCAAACGTCAAAAAATAGACCATAACTCTTTCTGTGTATGCTTTAGGGGAATTCGCGCTGCTCTCTTTCTCTGTTCCTTGTTTTTTTCAACAGAATGATTATATATTCCTGTGGCATGTCTCAAACCCTGACGATTATTTTCTGTGTTCAGCAGCATTGCTTCCCGGTTCATGTGCATTGTGCCTGCATGAATTGGTTTTTCTTTAATTTCATGCCTCTTATAGACTCATTATAGCTTCAATGCTTACTTCGAGTTGCTTAAATTTTTCCCACTTTGATTTCAAGAAAACCAGATCTTGCATGCCTTTTCCCAGGAATTAAATTGTTCTTATATTCGAATTGTGTAGGATTTTGATATATAAATACCTTTTGAAGGTAAGGCTATGTGGAATTAAATCGAATTTTGAGTCCTAAATATCCAATTGTGGGAATATTCATTATCAGTTCTCTATCGCCTTAAGCGAAATAGGGTTACTAAGGCTCTTATTTACTCGTGCTGTCCATTTCATACGTGTTGTTGATTAAATGTTTCTATCCCATCTCGCTTGCATAAATTTACCGTTCAAGGGCATGCTATCAGAATCTTAAAGAAGAAATCTCCTAAATATCAACCTCGATTTGCATTTTGTCTTCTTTTGAATCTCTTGACGAGCCCTCTATCATTTGTTATGCATTAAATATGTGAGAATGAGTGTCTTAAACTATAATTCGTGGTTAAATCTCAAGGAATCTGTAGTGGATATAAGTGCTGTCAGTACAGTTAGAGACTGATCTAAACTGATACAACTCGATAATACCTAGCCTTGAAGAGGAAATTATTATTCAATTTGAGCGGTAAGATAGTGTTTGGGTCATTAACCAACCAAAGGAGTTATCGTATTGATATGACCTCGCTTTCACAACTTGGTCGGAGCGACAGGAAGACCTTGTGGAATGTACCCAGGCGCTCAGACCAAGTTGTTGAAAAGGAATCAATCCAACACTGCACGGCTAAGAGGGACTGTGAGGAAGCTCAGGACCACGCAATCTCAGGTCTAGAGGAGCTATCAACCAAAAAGGATGGTAATTACTCACCTAGTGTTTTTCAAGACAGAGATTTGTTGTCAATTATATCGTCAAGGGTAAGAGAGGTTGAATAAAACTCGTATCTCATTTTCGCTTCGAGTGTAGTTTAAAACGACAAGTAATTCTTAAATAAAAACTTTATTTATAAACTTACAACGAAAGTTATCACCGTCGTCGATCATAATGGAAAATGTAGGCTAGTCCTGCTAGTACTCTGGATTGCCTTTAAATCCACTTCCGGGCTGTGACCTGTGCTAACGTGTTTCCACGATGTGCAAGACCCGGTTTTGAATCTCATTGAGGATGCTGATGAGGCAATGAGGCAAAGTCTAAATTGTAGCCAATAGAGATGAAAAAAGCTTTTGGGAAGCAAGTTTAGACGAAATTCTATGATACTCATATCATCAGGTACAAATTCTATCATCAGACCTCAACTAGACTTAGGCGACTTAGGGTGACTAATTTCTTTTCGGCTCAAACCAAACACGAAACTGGCTAGCTGGTGTATGGCCAATGAATTTAAAATATGAACAATTTAGTATATTTAAGTGGGTTCTTGTTGTCAGGGCGAATTAGTAGAATACACCAAGCGCGAAGTCGTCTGCCATAGTAGTTTTCATCATTCCCAGCATCAGACAGTGGACTTGGTACATTCTCAAACGTTTCGCCGGCATCGTAGTCGGCAGCATCAGTGAGTTTTGCCAACAAGACCAAGTTGCGACATCGAGGTCAACCCACTTCTATAAATCGAAATGAAACTGCGATCATACCAAAGGCCACAACATCTTGGTCTTCATATCTTCAATTAAACTACGCTAGTAAAATTGCCAAACAATGCACTGAATATAGCCGGACAAAGAGGACAATTGTAAGTCAGTCTTCCCATCTTTCTCTTTTAAACTTTTGTAAACGTTATGGTATCACTCCAAGGTTCTGTGAGCTCAAGAGACCCAACCACTCGGATAAGGTCAATGAGTATCTTCGCCAGGCTTCTATTCAGAAACTAAGTGAGACCTATGATACAGAACGAAATAAGTTTTTTAAGTTTATAGATATTAAGTTAAAGCTTCGGCGTGATCTGGCCAGGATCCAGTCTCTGGAAGATTTGCAAAAACTCCAGAGCATGACCGACAGAAAATTAAGTAGGATTTCTGACTTGATAACAAAACGGCATGACGATAAATTGCGTAAGTTTGGGATTTTTAGACAGTTTTAGGTAAAGCTAGTACGTCCAGTTGAAGTG